TAGTTGAGTTATTTTTTTTAGTTCTCATAAAGTAAATTAAAGGTTACGTTTTCTCAAATTTTTTGGATGGCCAAGCGGTCAAAGGCGCTGCGTTCATGTCGAAGTCCACTCGGTTTTGGCGTGGGTTCGAATCCCACTTCTGATAATGTAATTTTATTCAGTCGTTATTTTTTTAGTTTTCATAAACTAAATGTAAGGCAAAGATCTTTCATAGGTTAAGATTACTGAGCGGTCTAAAGCGCTGCGTTTAGGTCGCAGTAAAATTCTGCAGGCGTGGTTTCGGATTCCACGTTTGACAATTATAATTCATTCATTCATTTTTTTAGTTCTCATTAATTAAATGAAAGGAAACACTCTCCCACGTGTCAGGATGGCCGAGGGATCTCAGGCGCTGCGTTCAGTTCGCAGTCCACTTGTGTGGGCGTGGGTTCGAATCCCACTTCTGACAATGTATTTCTATGCAGTCATTTTTTGAGGTTAAAGAACTAAATGCAAGGGAAAGCTATTTAGCGTGTCAGGAGGAACGAGCGGTTTAAGGCGCTGCAATCAGGTCGTACTCCACTTGCGTGTTCGTGGGTTCGAATCCCACTTCGGACAATGTATTTCTTTCAGTCATTTTTTGAGTTTAAAAACTACATGGAAGGGAAAGCTATTCTGCGTGTCAGGATGGCCGAGCGGTCTAAGGCGCTGCGTTCAGGTCGCAGTCCACTTCTGTGGGCGTGGGTTCGAATCCCACTTCTGACAATAAAATTTTATTCACGTACTTTTCTTAGGTTCCAAAAACTAAATGTAAGGAAAAACTCTTTCACATGTCAGGATGGCCTATCGGTCTAAAGCGCTGCGTTTAGATCACATTCCACTTCTGACAATAGAATTTAATTCAGTCATTTTTTTTTAGTTCTCATAACTTAAATGTAAGGAAACGCTCTCGCATGTGTCAGGATCGCCGATCGGTCTAAGGCGCTGCATTTTTGATCATATTCCACTTTTGTGGGCGTGGGTTCGAATCCCACTTCTGACAGTAACATTTTATTCAGTCATTTTTTTTTTAGTTCTCATAACTTAAATGTAAGGAAACGCTCTGGCTCGTGTCAGGATGGCCGAGTGGTCTAAGGCGCTTTAATCAGGTCGCAGTCAACTTGTGTGGGCGTGGGTTCGAGTCCAACTTCTGACAATGTATTTCTTTCAGTCATTTTTTGAGGTTAAAAACTTTATGCAAGGGAAAGCTATTTTGCGTGTTAGGATGGCCGAGTGGTCTAAGGTGCTGCAATCAGGTCCTAGTCCACTTGCGTGGGCGTGGGTTTGAATCCCACTTCTGTCAATGTATTTCTTTCAGTCATTTTTTGAGGTTAAAAACTACATGCAAGGGAAAGCTATTTTGCGTGTCAGGATGGCCGTGCAGTCTAAGGCGCTGCGTTTAGATCACATTCCACTTCTGTGGGCGTGGGTTCGAATCCCATTTCTGACAATAAAATTTTATTCAGTCATTTTTTTTTAGTTCTTATAACTTAATTGTAAGGAAACGCTCTAGCACGTGTCAGGATGACCGAGCGGTCTAAGGCGCTGCAATCAGGTCGCAGTATACTTGCGTGTTCGGGGGTCCAACTCCCACGTCGAGCAATTATATTTAGTTATTTTTTTTAGTTCTCATAAAGTAAATTAAAGGAAACCTTTTTTTAAATTTCAGGATGACCAAGCGGTCAAAGGCGCTGCGTTCATGTCGAAGTCCATTTGATTTTGAAGTGGATTCGCGAATCCCACTTCTGATAATGTAATTTTATTCAGTCATTATTTTTTTAGTTCTCATAAACTAAATGTAAGGGAAAGATCTTTCACAGGTAAAGATTCCTGAACGGTCTAAAGCGCTGCGTTTAAGTCGCAATAAAATTCTGCGGGCGTGGTTTTGGGTTCCACGTTTGACATATTTATTTCATTCATTCATTTTTTTAAGTTCTCATTAATTAAATGAAAGGAAACCCTCTCCTGTGTTCAGGTCGCAGTCCACTTCTGTGGGCGTGGATTCGAATCCCACTTCTGACAAAAAAATTTTATTCACATACTTTTCTTAGGTTACAAAAACAAAATGTAAGGTAAACTATTTCACATGTCAGGATGGCCGATCGGTCTAAGGCGCTGCGTTTAGATCACTTTACACTTCTGTGGTCGTTGGTTCGAATCCCACTTCTGACAATAGAATTTTATTCAGTCATTTTGTTTTTGTTCTCATAACTAAAATGTAAGGAAACGATCTCGCACGTGTCAGGATGGCCGAGCGGTCTAAGGCGCTACAATCAGGTTGCAGTACACTTGCGCGTTCGCGGATCAAACTCCCACGTCGAGCAATTATATTTAGTTGAGTTATTTGTTTTAGTTCTCATAAAGTAAATTAAAGGTTACGTTTTCTCAAATTTCAGGATGGTCAAGCGGTCAAAAGCGCTGCGTTCATGTCGAAGTCCTCCCGGTTTTAGCGTGGGTTCGAATCCCACTTCTGACAATAAAATTTTATTCACATACTTTTCTTAGGTTACAAAAACTAAATGTAAGGGAAATCTCTTTCACATGTCAGGATGGCCGATCGGTCTAAGGCGCTGCGTTTAGATCACATTCCACTTCTGTGGGCGTGGGTTCAAATCTCACTTCTGACAAGGTATTTCTACTCAGTCAATTTTTGAGGTTAAAAAACTTTATGCAAGGGAAAGCTATTTTGCGTGTCAGGATGGTCGAGTGGTCTAAGGCACTGCGTACAGGTCGCAGTCCACTTGTGTGGGCGTGGGTTCGAATCCCACTTCTGACAATGTACTTCTATTCAGTCATTTTTTGAGGTTAAAGAACTAAATGCAAGGGAAAGCTATTTTGCGTGTCAGGAGGGTGAGTGAGTGAAGATTAACGTCGCACTGTTCAGCTACACGAGGGCTTTTGGCGACGGACCATGTAATTTTGAACCATGGTCAAGTGACGTACGCGTGTCAGGAGGGACGAGCGGTTTAAGGCGCTGCAATCAGGTCGAAGTCCACTAGCGTGTTCGTGGGTTCGAATCCCACTTCGGACAATGTATTTCTTTCAGTCATTTTTTGAGTTTTAAGAAACTACATGCAAGGAAAAGCTATTCTGCGTGTCAGGTTGGCCGAGCGGTCTAAGGCGCTGCGTTCAGGTCGCAGTCCACTTCTGTGGGCGTGGGTTCGATTCCCGCTTCTGACAATAAAATTTTATTCACATACTTTTCTTAGGTTAAAAAACTAAATGTAAGGGAAAAAAGTCTTTCACATGTCAGGATGGTCGAACGGTCTAAGGCACTGCGTTTAGATCACATTCCACTTCTGACAATAAAATTTTAAATAAAAAACTTTATGCAAGGGAAAGCTATTTTGCGTTTCAGGATGGCCGAGCGGTCTAAGCCGCTGCGTTCTGGTCGCAGTCCATTTCTGTGGGCGTGGGTTCGAATCCCACTTTTAACAATAAAATTTTATTCACATACTTTTCTTAGGTTACAAAAACTAAATGTAAGGGAAAACTCTTTCACATGTCAGGATGGCCGATCGGTCTAAGGCGCTGCGTTTAGCACACATTCCACTTCTGTGGGCATGGTTTCGAATCCCACTTCTGACAATAGAATTTTATTCAGTCAATTTTGAGGTTAAAGAAGTAAATGCAAGGGAAATCTATTTTGCGTGTCAGGATTGGCGAGCGGTTTAAGGTGCTGCAATCAGGTCCTAGTCCACTTGCGTGGGCGTGGGTTTGAATCCCACTTCTGACAATGTATTTCTTTCAGTCATTTTTTGAGGTTAAAAACTACATGCAAGGGAAAGCTATTTTGCGTGTCAGGATGGCCGAGCAGTCTAAGGCGCTGCGTTCATGTCGAAGTCCACTCGGTTTTGAAGTGGATTCGTGAATCCCACTTCTGATAATGTAATTTTATTCAGTCATTATTTTTTTAGTTCTCATAAACTAAATGTAAGGGAAAGATCTTTCACAGGTAAAGATTCCTGAGCGGTCTAAAGCGCTGCGTTTAAGTCGCAGTAAAATTCTGCAGGCGTGGTTTCGATTCCACGTTTGACAATTTTATTTCATTCATTCATTTTTTTTAAGTTCTCATTATTAAAATGAAAGGAAACCCTCTACCACGTGTCAGGATGGCCGAGCGATCTAAGGCGCTGCGTTCCGGTCGTAGTCCACTTGAGTGGGCGTGGGTTCGAATCCCACTTATGACAATGTATTTCTATTCAGTCATTTTTTTTGAGGTTAAAGAACTAAAATGCAAGGGAAAGCTAATCTGTGTCAGGAGGGACGAGCGGTTTAAGGCGCTGCAATCAGGTCGTAGTCCACTTGCGTGTTCGTGGGTTGAATCCCACTTCGGACAATGTATTTCTTTCAGTCATTTTTGATTTTAAAAAACTTTATGCAAGGGAAAGTTATTCTGTGTGTCAGGATGGCCGAGCGGTCTAAGGCGCTGCGTTCAGGTCGCAGTCCACTTCTGTGGGCGTGAGTTCGAATCCGACTTCTGACAATAAAATTTTATTCACATACTTTTCTTAGGTTAAAAAACTAAATGTAAGGGAAAAAAGTCTTTCACATGTCAGGATGGCCGAACGGTCTAAGGCACTGCGTTTGGATCATATTCCACTTCTGACAATAAAATTTTATTCAGTCATTTTTTTAGTTCTCATAACTTAAATGTAAGGAAACGCTCTCTCACTTGTCAGGATAGCCGAACAGTCTAAGGCGCTGCAATCAGGTCGCAGAAACATTTGCGTGTTCGTGGGTCCAACTCCCACGTCGAGCAATTATATTCAGTTGAGTTATTTTTTTTAGTTCTCATAAAGTAAATTAAAGGAAACGTTTTCTCAAATTTCAGAATTGCCAAGCGGTCAAAGGCGCTGCGTTCATGTCGAAGTCCTTTCGGTTTTGGCTTGGTTTCGAATCCCACTTTGATAATGTAATTTTATTTAGTCATTATTTTTTTAGTTCTCATAAACTAAATGTAAGGGAAAAATCTTTCACAGGTTAAGATTCCTGAGCGGTCTAAAGCGCTGCGTTTAAGTCGCAGTAAAATTCTGCAAGCGTGGTTTCGAATTCCACGTTTGACAATTTTATTTCATTCATTCATTTTTTTAAGTACTCATTATTAAAATGAAAGGAAACCCTCTACCACGTGTCAGGATGGCCGAGCGATCTAAGGCGCTGCGTTCCGGTCGTAGTCCACTTGTGTGGGCGTGGGTTCGAATCCCACTTATGACAATGTATTTCTATTCAGTCATTTTTTGAGGTTAAAGAACTAAATGCAAGGGAAAGCTAATCTGTGTGTCAGGAGGGGACGAGCGGTTTAAGGCACTGCAATCAGGTCGTAGTCCACTTGCGTGTTCGTGGGTTCGAATCCCACTTCGGACAATGTATTTCTTTCAGTCATTTTTTGATTTTAAAAAAACTTTATGCAAGGGAAAGTTATTCTGTGTGTCAGGATGGCCGAGCGGTCTAAGGCGCTGCGTTCAGGTCGAAGTCGCAGTCCACTTCTGTGGGCGTGGGTTGGAATCCGACTTCTGACAATAAAATTTTATTCACATACTTTTCTTAGGTTAAAAACTAAATGTAAGGGAAAAAGTCTTTCACATGTCAGGATGGCCGAGCGGTCTAAGGCGCTGCGTTTAGCTCACATTCCACTTCTGTGGGCATGGTTTCGAATCCCACTTCTGACAATGAATTTTATTCAGTCATTTTTTGAGGTTAAAGAAGTAAATGCAAGGGAAAGCTATTTTGCGTGTCAGGATGGGCGAGCGGTTTAAGGTGCTGCAATCAGGTCCTAGTCCACTTGCGTAGGCGTGGGTTTGAATCCCACTTCTGACAATGTATTTCTTTCAGTCATTTTTGAGGTTAAAAACTACATGCAAGGGAAAGCTATTTTGCGTGTCAGGATGGCCGAGCAGTCTAAGGCGCTGCGTTTAGATCACATTCCACTTCTGTGGGCGTGGGTTTCGAATCCCATTTCTGACAATAAAATTTTATTCAGTCATTTTTTTTTAGTTCTTATAACTTAATTGTAAGGAAACGCTCTAGCACGTGTCAGGATGGCCGAGCGGTCTAAGACGCTGCAATCAGGTCGCAGTATACTTGCGTGTTCAGGGGTGAAACTCCCACGTCGAGCAATTATATTTAGTTGAGTTATTTTTTTAGTTCTCATAAAGTAAATTAAAAGGAAACCTTTTTTAAATTTCAGGATGACCAAGCGGTCAAAGGCGCTGCGTTCATGTCGAAGTCCACTCGGTTTTGAAGTGGATTCGCGAATCCCACTTCTGATAATGTAATTTTATTCAGTCATTATTTTTTTAGTTCTCATAAACTAAATGTAAGGAAAAGATCTTTCACAAGTTAAGATTTCTGAGCGGTCTAAAGCGCTGCGTTTAAGTCGCAGTAAAATTCTGCAGGCGTGGTTTCGGATTCCACGTTTGACAATTATATTTCATTCATTCATTAATTAAATGAAAGGTCTCCACGTGTAAGGATGGCAGCGGTCAAGGCGCTGCGTTCAGGTCGCAGTCCACTTGTGTGGGCGTGGGTTCGAATCCCCACTTCTGACAATGTATTTCTTTCAGTCATTTTTTGAGGTTAAAAACTATATGCAAGAGCTATTTTGCGTGTCAGGATTGCCGAGTGGTCTAAGGTGCTGCGTTCAGGTCGTAGTCCACTTGTGTGGGCGTGGGTTCGAATCCCTTATGACAATGTATTTCTATTCAGTCATTTTTTGAGGTTAGAGAACTGAATGCAAGGGAAAGCTAATCTGCGTGTCAGAGGGACGAGCGGTTTTAAGGCGCTGCAATCAGGTCGTAGTCCACTTGCGTGTTCGTGGGTTCGAATCCCACTTCGGACAATGTATTTCTTTCAGTCATTTTTTGAGTTTTAAGAAACTACATGAAAGGGAAAGCTATTCTGCGTGTCCGGATGGCCGATGCGGTCTAAGGCGCTGCGTTCAGGTCGCAGTCCACTTCTGTGGGCGTGAGTTCGAATCCCACTTCTGACAATAAAATTTTTTATTCACATACTTTTCTTAGGTTAAAAACTAAATGTAAGGTTAAAAGTCTTTCACATGTCAGGATGGCCGAACGGTCTAAGGCGCTGCGTTTAGATCACATTCCACATCTGTGGGCGTGGGTTCGAATCCCACTTCTGACAATAGATTTTTATTCAGTCATTCTTTTTAGTTCTCATAACTTAAATGTGAAATGCTCTCGCACGTGTCAGGATGGCCGAGCGGTCTAAAGCGCTGCAATCAGGTCGCAGTACACTTGCGCGTTCGCGGGTCAAACTCCCACGTCGAGCAATTATATTTAGTTGAGTTATTTTTTAGTTCTCATAAAGTAAATTAAAGGTTACGTTTTTCTCAAATTTCAGGATGGCTAAGTGGTCAAAGGCGCTGCGTTCATGTCGAGTCCCTCGGTTTTGGCGTGGAGTTCGGATCCGCCGGATAATGTAATTTTATTGAGCCATTATTTTTTAGTTTTCATAAGCTAAATGTAAGGCAAAAAGATCTTTCATAGGTTAAGATTCCTGAGTGGTCTAAAGCGCTGCGTTCAGGTCGCAGTAAAATTTTTGCAGGCGTGGTGTCGGATTCCACATTTGACAATTATATTTCATTCATTCATTCTTTACGTTTCATTAATTAAATGAAAGGAATAACTCTCCCACGTGTCAGGACGGCCGAGCGGTCTAAGGCGCTGCGTTCAGGTTGCAGCCCACTTGTGTGGGCATGGGTTCGAATCCCACTTCTGACAATGTATTTCTATTCAGTCATTTTTTGAGGTTAAAGAACTAAATGCAAGGGAAAGCTATTTTGCGTGTCAGGAGGGACGAGCGCTTTAAGGTGCTGCAATCAGGTCCTAGTCCACTTGCGTGGGCGTGGGTTTGAATCCCACTTCTGACAATGTATTTCTTTCAGTCATTTTTTGAGGTTAAAAACTACATGCAAGGGAAAGCTATTTTGCGTGTCAGGATGGCCGAGCAGTCTAAGGCGCTGCGTTTAGATCACATTCCACTTCTGTGGGCGTGGGTTCGAATCCCATTTCTGACAATAAAATTTTATTCAGTCATTTTTTTTTTTTAGTTCTTATAACTTAATTGTAAGGAAACGCTCTAGCACGTGTCAGGATGACCGAGCGGTCTAAGGCGCTGCAATCAGGTCGCAGTATACTTGCGTGTTCGGGGGTCCAACTCCCACGTCGAGCAATTATATTTAGTTTTTTTTTTTAGTTCTCATAAAGTAAATTAAAGAAACCTTTTTTTAAATTTCAGGATGACCAAGCGGTCAAAGGCGCTGCGTTCATGTCGAAGTCCACTCGGTTTGGAAGTGGATTCGCGAATCCCACTTCTGATAATGTAATTTTATTCAGTCATTATTTTTAGTTCTCATAAACTAAATGTAAGGGAAAGATCTTTCACAGGTAAAGATTCCTGAGCGGTCTAAAGCGCTGCGTTTAAGTCGCAGTAAAATTCTGCGGGCGTGGTTTTGGGTTCCACGTTTGACATATTTATTTCATTCATTCATTTTTTTAAGTTCTCATTAATTAAATGAAAGGAAACCCTCTCCTGTGTTCAGGTCGCAGTCCACTTCTGTGGGCGTGGGTTCGAATCCCACTTCTGACAATAAAATTTTATTCACATACTTTTCTTAGGTTACAAAAAACTAAATGTAAGGTAAACTATTTCACATGTCAGGATGGCCGATCGGTCTAAGGCGCTGCGTTTAGATCGCTTTACACTTCTGTGGTCGTTGGTTCGAATCCCACTTCTGACAATAGAATTTTATTCAGTCATTTTGTTTTTGTTCTCATAACTAAAATGTAAGGAAACGCTTTCGCACGTGTCAGGATGGCCGAGCGGTCTAAGGCGCTACAATCAGGTTGCAGTACACTTGCGCGTTCGCGGATCAAACTCCCACGTCGAGCAATTATATTTAGTTGAGTTATTTGTTTTAGTTCTCATAAAGTAAATTAAAGGTTACGTTTTCTCAAATTTCAGGATGGCCAAGCGGTCAAAAGCGCTGCGTTCATGTCGAAGTCCTCCCGGTTTTAGCGTGGGTTCGAATCCCACTTCTGACAATAAAATTTTTATTCACATACTTTTCTTAGGTTACAAAAACTAAATGTAAGGAAATCTCTTTCACATGTCAGGATGGCCGATCGGTCTAAGGCGCTGCGTTTAGATCACATTCCACTTCTGTGGGCGTGGGTTCAAATCTCACTTCTGACAATAAAATTTTATTCAGTCATTTTTTTTAGTTCTCATAACTTAAATGTAAGGAAATGCTCTCGCACGTGTCAGGATGGCCGATCGGTTTAAAGCGCTGCAATTAGGTCGCAGTACACTTGCGCGTTCGCGGGTCAAACTCCCACGTCGAGCAATTATATTTAGTTGAGTTATTTTTTTTAGTTCTCCTAAAGTAAATTAAAGGAAACCTTTTTTTAAATTTCAGGATGAACAAGCGGTCAAAGGCGCTGCGTTCATGTCGAAGTCCACTCGGTTTTGAAGTGGATTCGCGAATCCCACTTCTGATAATGTAATTTTATTCAGTCATTATTTTTTTAGTTCTCATAAACTAAATGTAAGGGAAAGATCTTTCACAGGTAAAGATTCCTGAGCGGTCTAAAGCGCTGCGTTTAAGTCGCAGTAAAATTCTGCGGGCGTGGTTTTGGGTTCCACGTTTGACATATTTATTTCATTCATTCATTTTTTTAAGTTCTCATTAATTAAATGAAAGGAAACCCTCTCCTGTGTTCAGGTCGCAGTCCACTTCTGTGGGCGTGGGTTCGAATCCCACTTCTGACAATAAAATTTTATTCACATACTTTTCTTAGGTTACAAAAACTAAATGTAAGGGAAAACTCTTTCACATGTCAGGATGGCCGATCGATCTAAGGCGCTGAGTTTAGCTCACATTCCACTTCTTTGGGCATGGTTTCGAATCCCACTTCTGACAATAGAATTTTATTCAGTCAATTTTTGAGGTTAAAAAGTAAATGCAAGGGAAAGCTATTTTGCGTGTCAGGATGAGCGAGCGGTTTAAGGTGCTGCAATCAGGTCCTAGTCCACTTGCGTGGGCGTGGGTTTGAATCCCACTTCTGACAATGTATTTCTTTCAGTCATTTTTGAGGTTAAAAACTACATGCAAGGGAAAGCTATTTTGCGTGTCAGGATGGCCGAGCAGTCTAAGGCGCTGCGTTTAGATCACATTCCACTTCTGTGGGCGTGGGTTCGAATCCCATTTCTGACAATAAAATTTTATTCAGTCATTTTTTTTAGTTCTCATAACTTAAATGTAAGGAAACGCTCTCGCACGTGTCAGGATGGCCGAGTGGTCTAAGGCGCTTTAATCAGGCCGCAGTACACTTGCGTGTTCGGGGGTCCAACTCCCACGTCGAGCAATTATATTTAGTTGAGTTATTTTTTTTAGTTCTCATAAAGTAAATTAAAGGAAACCTTTTTTTAAATTTCAGGATGACCAAGCGGTCAAAGGCGCTGCGTTCATGTCGAAGTCCACTCGGTTTTGAAGTGGATT